AGACCCTAAACCCTAAACCCTCAACCCTCAACCCTCAACAGCCCCTGCCGCTTGGTTTTATGCCGCGCGGCCAGGAATCCGGCATCAAGCACAATGGGTCCGTACACGGTCCTCGCAAAGCTCTTTGCTGCGAAACTGAAGTCAACGTCAAAGCCCCGTGCGAGGAGCAAGGTGTGCAGATCACCAGCGGCAAGGCGAGTGGGCGTGGAAAATACGAGGTGGCGGATATTCCTCATGCAACGACGGCTTCAAGGTTTATCAGGGTTAAGGCTAGGGGCGCTATTTGGGGGGCCAGGAGACAGAGCTTCCTAAAGTTCCTAAAGGTCTAGGGCACCCGGTTAAGTCTAGGAGCGCTATTTGGGAGGTCAGGGGACAGAGCTTCCTAAAGTTCCTAAAGGTCTAGGGCACCCGGTACCCTAGACCCCAAGAGCACACTGAGCCATCCAAGCATCTGCAAAAGGCGGCTCCCCCGAACCAGCTTCCGCTGAACATCTTCCTCCCATTGGAGGAGGGGTGCACGGGGTTTAGGGTTTAGGGTTTAGGGTTAGGGTTTAGGGTTTAGGGTTTAGGGTTTAGGGTTTAGGGTTTAGGGTTTAGGGTTTAGGGTTTAGGGTTTAGGGTTTAGGGTTTAGGGTTTAGGGTTTAGGGTTTAGGGTTTAGGGTTTAGGGTTTAGGGTTTAAGCCCTGGAACCTGAGGTTCTTCAGATTCAGTTGGCTTTAGCAGGCTTTAATAGGCCTTGCTCAAGACATTCTTGGCGCCTTATGGCGTCTAGAGTCTAGAGGGCCTACAATTTTGGGACCTATACGGGCTATTATGGGGCTTGTAGGTTTTTTCGGCTGCCGACAGGGGTTCTCCCCAAACCCTAGACCCAAAACTCAAAACCCTAAACCCTGAACCCTAAACCCTGTTCAGAGAAAAAGAATGGCCTCCGCCATGTCGACGTGCAGGAAATCTATCGCCCCAAAGCGGCGGAGCAAGGCATCCTGCAGCTCAAGAAGCGGCTTTAGGTTGTCTAGGGTTTAGGGTTTAGGGTTTAGGGTTTAGGGTTTAGGGTTTAGGGTTTCGGGTTTAGGGTTCAGGGTTTCGGGTTTAATGAGGGTTTGGGCTTCTCTAGGGTGTTAAGGGTTTGATTAATGAGGGGCTTTAGTTTTTTCATTGGGTTGAATTAGGGTTTAGGGCTTAGCTAGGGTTTAAGGGTTTAACAGGGCCTAATTAGCTAATCAGGGTTTTGGGTTTACTTTCTTGTAGTTTTCATTTTTTCGGAGGGGGCGGGGGGTGGGGTCGGGTGTACTTGCTAGCCCAAAATTACTATGACTCCAACATTCTATACCTCTAACATTCTGGAGTTGGCTAAGGTGACTTGACAAGGGAGCGTAGAACCCGCAACAAAAAAAGGGGGCAAAAGGGTGGCCACTGGACTACCAAGTGTGGGGCTTAGGCGGCTCCGTGGAGCAGCCGCACCTCCTCCGAGCTCACCTGATGCCCTGGAGACGGGTTTAGGGTTTAGGGTTTATGGCCCTGAACTCAGGGTTCAGGGTTTAGGGTTTAGGGTTCAGGGTTCAAGGCTTCGGGATGTTTGTAGCTTAGTGCGTTGGTAAACTACAGCGTCTGCACGCAAACAGCAGCCCTGAGTCCAGGAGAGATGAGCTCAGGCGATTTGCGAAGATGATGGTGTTGCAGAGCTTGTCAATGTCGTTGCTCTGGAGGTGGTCGGTCAGGCGAGATGCGGGAATCACGTGGTTTATCAGCACCTTAGGGGCTGAATACCATAGCCCAAAACAGGTCAACCTTCTATTAAAATTATTAGTAAGATGACTAATTATATATAACCAAAAAGGTTGAAGGTTTCCTAACCCTAAACCCTAAACCCTAAACCCTAAGGCACAAGGTTGCAGGAGCCGTCGGGGTATCGTCGCCTGAAGGCTTTGGCCGCCTTCGGCCCCCAATAGCTGGCGTGTGTGGCGACTTCGACGACCACGAAGGAGCCCGAGGACGCGCCCTCAATGGCCTGTCAGGGTTTAGGGTTTAGGGTTTAGGGTTTAGGGTTTAGGGTTTAGGGTTTAGGGTTTAGGGTTTAGGGTTTAGGGTTTAGGGTTTAGGGTTTAGGGTTTAGGGTTTATGGTTTAGGGTTTAGGGTTTAGGGTACACTAGCCTCAAATCCTCAGACCCTGAGGAGATGAATCCCGGGTCCCCCTAAGGATTAATCCTGGGTCTCTTCTGCGGCCAGTCGACCGTCAAACAGAGATGAGGGTTTAGGGTTCAGGGTTTAGGGTTAGGGTTTAGGGCTAGGGTTTAGGGTTTAGGGTATAGGGTTTAGGGTTTAGGGCTTCAGGGTTTAGGGTTTGGCCTGCAGAAGGGAGATTGTCTCCAAGTAGTCCTCCCCGGCCACCGGCCCCCAAGGCAGCCCGGCACACTCGAGCGCGCGAGTCCTGATTCTGGTTTAGGGTTTAGGGTTTAGGGTTTAGGGTTTAGGGTTTAGGGTTTAGGGTTTAGGGTTTAGGGTTTAGGGTTTAGGGTTTAGGGTTTAGGGTTTAGGGTTTAGGGTTTAGGGTTTAGGGTTTAGGGTTAGTGTTTAGGGTTTAGGGTTTAGGGTTTAGGGTTTAGGGTTTAGGGTTTAGGGTTTAGGGTTTAGGGTTTAGGGTTTAGGGTTTAGGGTTTAGGGTTTAGGGTTTAGGGTTTAGGGTTTAGGGTTTAGGGTTCCGGGTTCAGGGTTTAGGGTTTAGGGTTTAGGGTGCCGCTCGACCCATGCAGGCCTGCAAAGGAGACCAAGAAAAAATGACTAAAGATAAAATAGTACAAAGAGAAATGCCCTTCAACCCTGAAACCCTTAAACCCTTAAAATCACTTAAACCCTTGAAACCCGTAAAACGCCATAAAAACCCGTAAGCCCTTTAAATCACTTAAACCCTTGAAACCCTTTATCCATAAAAACCCTTCAGCCCTTAAAATCACTGAAACCCTGAAACCCTTAAAAGCCCTTAAACCCTTAAATACACTTGAAACCCCTGAACCCTTAACAACCCTTAACAACCCTTAACAACCCTTATCAACCCTTAAAAACCCTTAACAAGCCTTTAAAAACCCTTAAAACCCCTTAACAAAAGCCCTTAAAAACGCTTAACAACCCTTAAACAGCTTTAAACCCTGGAACTCTTGAACCCTTAAACCCTGAAACCCTAAATTAGCACTTAAGCGAAAGGTTCTTGGGTCTAGACCCAGGAGTAACCTAGGAATAAAAGGGTGTTTTAAGGGGTAAGGGAACCACAACCCTAAAAAATGTAGGTAAGGGACCCCTTATATAGACCCCCAACTAGTAGGATTCCCTGAGAACAAGGCAAGAGTCAAAGAAATTCCCTCAACTTCACGGCAGTCGTAGCGAAGGCCTAGCCAGTCTGTTGCCCAGGACACAGCTCGCGGTCTTCTTGGGATCTGGGGCCTCTCCCTGCAGGAGGGTGCCCTAAAAAAGGACATGAGCATAAGCCTTTTTTATCAGGACATCCTACCTTATGGGGCTTCACTATACAAGGGGATTTGTGTAAGGATCATTGTAAGGGGACTTATATGATAAGGAGATCCCTATCCTAAGTTTTTTATGCGCTTTTTTGGGGCCTCTCCCAGCAGGAGGGTGTCCAGGCTTTCACCAGCGGGTGGTGGGGAAAGCACCTTCGTGGCTCCCATGGGTTGAACACAGCCTTGGTCGCTCAGGAACCGAAATATCATAAGGGCACCTTATTGGGGGTTGGTTACAAAAGAAAGCAAGGGGTGGGGCCTTGAAACCAAAGAAAGGGGCAGAAGGGTCGCACCGGACTACCAAGCAGCACACTGGTCCTTCTCGCACTTGGACGTGTGGTTTGCAAGGGACCTTAGGGACCAATTGAACCCTAAAATTGGGGCCATTTACTATGCAACTTTTATTTAAATTAAGGTATATGAACCATAAATCCTTTTAGGGCTCATTTCGTCCCCTAGGGACAGCAGCAGCTGTCTGCCTTTGAGCTTGAATGACCAGCCGTCGCCCAGGTGCGCGTGCTTCCGGTACGCCCTGTCCCACCACTGCATCTCTTGGGCATGCTGCTCCAGGAACAACACCTCCTCCTCAATCTTCAACATGGGATACCGGGCTTGAACAGACGCCACGGCACAGGTCTCGTTGCCTTAGCTTGCGTAATCACCAGAGGCTGAAACAGGTTGATCTGTCTTGTCTTCTTCTTATTGGATGTTGTTCTAAATTCTTATGCCAAGCCTAAGGCCGTAGGGTTCCCTTGCGCCTCGCCGTTGCGCCGCCTTGCGCCGTGCTAGTGTTTGGCCACGTCGGCAAACATGCCAACGAAAAAACGTGGTACCGACAAGGTTTTCTGGGGGTTTGTACTATGTACTAGAAGCGATGTTTCCATAAGCTGGCTGGATTGTCACTGTTTCGTCGTTCGAGCTCAGTACTGGAAGCGATGATTCCGTAATGCGGCTGGATTGTCGCTGTTTTGAAGTCTAGGCTTAACTTAGCACCGGAATCGATGTTTCATGACATGTACAAACCAGTTTTATTGTGTCAGGGCCCATGGCTCCACATCGGCCACGCGGTCTTGCGCCAGCCTTGCGCGTCCCTTGCGACGCGAGTCCCGCTGACAAACTAAACTCTAGACTCTAGACCCACTAACCTCTAACCCTGAACACATCCTATACGAAACCATCCTAAACCCTAAGCCCCCCAGACCCTAGCCCCAAAACCCTCAACCTAAACCCTAACCTCTAACCCTAACACCTAAACTTGCAGACCCCTGACCTTGTACACGACAAGGCAGCGGCCTGATCTTAGAGTCTTGGGCTCCTGGCCCTTGCGCTCGCCCTTGCGCCCCGTTGCGCCGTGCTGGTTTTTGGCGCCATAGTTACACGAAGGCAACATACGTGTGGCCGGCCCAATTAAACACGAAGAGGCGGGGGTTTAGAACAACGCCCTTATAGAAGACAAAGAAGCCAAAAGCCTGACATGTGGAACGCTCTACTACTGGCTAAGCAAGTTTGAACTTGATGTAGCTTTTGCCGAGAAGCCCTCGTTGTCAAAAGCCGCCATGGCCAGCACAGCACGCGAGCATGTCGCCAGCTGTTTCTCAGCTGCCTTATCAACCCAAACCATGCTACAGGAAGCCTGGTATACACCCTAAACCCTAAACCCTAAACCCTAAACCCTAAACCCTAAACCCTAAACCCTAAACCCTAAACCTTGTACAAACAAAGCTATCCAAAAAGTAAGGCTTGGGGTTCTGAAGGTACAACTGACCCTCGTGGCAGGCGCAAGAAGTCCAAGCACAAAGCACGCACCTCCTTCGGCCTCGTAAGCTGGAACCCTAGACCCTAAACCCTAAACCCTAAACCCTAAACCCTAAACCCTAAACCCTAAACCCTAAACCCTAAACCCTAAACCCTAACCCTAAAACCCTAAACCCTCTTTCGGCCTCGTAAGCTGGAACCCCCCAGTGTCCAGCTTGTGCAACCGCTGAATCAGCTGCCTTAGCTGCTTCATTTTGGGGTTTAGGGTTTATGGTTTAGGGTTCAGGAATAAAAGGAATGCTCGAAGTGTAAGGGGGTGAAACCCAAAACCCTCAAACACAGGGGTTGCCCTCGCACTTGTGCAACAAGTTCGACAACAAGAAGCGCCGAAACCCTAAATCCCTTCTGTCTACACCCTCATGGGAGTTTACGACAATAAGGGATCCCTGATACAAGCCCCCCAACTAGTAGGATTCTCTTATAAGAAGGACCCCAATAAGGTACCCCTAAACCCTAAACTCAAACCCTAAACCCCTAATTTCGGAAACCCCTCATCTAGTGGTCAGGTAAGCCGCAAGGCCTGACAGCAGGAGGATGGCTCACTCCTTCCCGCCAAGCAGCTCCGCCTCTCCTTTTTTTAGAGATTTAGGGGTTTAGGGGGTTTAGGGTTTAGGACTTGGGGGGTTTAGGGTTTAGGACTTGGGGGGTTTAGGGTTTAGGGTTTAGGGTTTAGGGATAAAGTTTCTGGTTTAGGGTTTTGGGTTTGGGTTTCGGGTTGAGGGGGTGTTCTTATAATCTAAGGATTCTCTTGCATAATTAAGGGGTACCCCTAATTTAGGATGCTTCTGGCTCTCATGACATAGGGTTGCGGCGTTTCAGGATTTCAGGGTTTAGGGCCAACGGTCTCCTCCAGCGTGTCAAAGCAATTGAAGCGGCTGTCGCAGACTTTCTCGAGCCATGGTGTGTTCGCCAGACATTCTGGTCGTTTCCCACGCCGCAGTGCTGGCAATGCCCATACGCCAAGATATCCGTTCTGCTCGGTTATGGCCTGGGTTGAAGCCAGTACTGCGTCCGAATTAAGCCCTGAGCCCTTCAGATTTAGGGCTTCTCCTCCGCTCCGCTCCCAGCGGGAGTGCGCAGGCTTGGGTGTTTTCTTCAGGCTTTTGCTGCCCAGGGCGCCGTGTTGCGAATGAAGTAGAGGGCTGGAGGAAAGCAGTAGGGTGGCAGCTCAAGGTTATACTCGTGGTAGCCGATGACTTGGGACGTTTGGGGGTCGAGGTCATGCACCAACCTTGGTCGCCCAGTAACCATATTCACAACTAGGGTACCCTTCTTTGGGGGTTTTTATTACTTTATATGGGCACCTTTCACAATAAGGGTACCCTTTTAATTGGGGGGGTTTATTACTTTACATGGGAACCTGGAACCAAAAAAAGGTTTAGGGTATAGGGTTTAGGGTTTAGGGTTTCCACTTTGCTACCAAGCAACTGGTAGGCCTGCTCGAACTTCATGGGATGGTACTCATTCCTCGGCTGGCTGGCTTCGTCACAACTTGAGAAAGGACGTCTACATACAAACAAGGGTTTAGGGTTTAGGGTTTAGGGTTTAGGGTTTAGGGTTTAGGGTTTAGGGTTTAGGGTTTAGGGTTTAGGGTATAGGGTTTAGGGTTTAGGGTTTAGGGTTTAGGGTTTAGGGTTTAGGCTCGTCTTGTGATCTAGCCAGGGGTGAAATACACTGTTTCCCAAGAGCCCGCCTAGATTCGTTGATCCATTGGAGAAGGGCCAGTGCGGAAGCACGAGGTACTTGGAGCCGCTCCGCTCGAAGTTTTTCAGAGCCTTCAACGACAAGTCCGTGTCAATGTGCATGAGCACGTCTCGGGTGTGTATCATGTCTACCTAGGCCCAGGAGTAACCTGGGATTAAAAAGGGTAAGGGATTGTAAAGGACCCTTAAACCCTAAAAAAACGGAACAAGGGCCTACTCCGGGGCGTAGCTACTGGCGGCGGAACCATACAGGTGATGTCGAACTGCGCGAACTTGTTTGCGAAGCGTGGGTCGTCAGCGAACCTTTTCAGATGGCTCGCGACCAGCGCGGATGACAGATCACCGCCAATGTAGTCCACACCTGGTTTCCCTACATAATTATCCTAACCAGATTACGAGCCCTACGATGTAGCCCCCCCCCCCCCCCCCCCCCCACCCTAAACCCTAAACCCTAAACCCAAAAAAACACAAACTCCAGCCCCACCTGTGAGGTTTACCTCTGGCATCCACGTCATATCACCGCAGGGCACATCTAGGAAGCTGCGGATCTGTAGTGAGTTGAAGTTCAAGCGCAGGAACTTCCTCACCTCGCAGCAGCGCAAAAGGGTTTAGGGTTTAGGGTTTAGGGTTTAGGGTTTAGGGTTTAGGGCTTAGGAGATCAAATTGGGCTTAAGGAATTGCTTGCGCAAGGCCTGCGGCCCTTCAAACACAAAACCCTAGAACCAATCTACTCACCGTAAAACCTGAAGGCCCTAAGCCCTTAAACCCTAGACCCTTCACCCTAAACCCTAAACTCGACACCACGTGGGGGGTTTGAGGCTCAAGGAATACAACACAAAAGCCTGCCCATCTGGATGCCTAAGCTTAGGGTTTAGGTTTAGGGTTTAGGGTTTAGGGTTTAGGGTTTAGGGTATAGGGTTTAGGGTTTAGGGTTTAGGGCTTAGGGCTCCTTGTGGGAACAGTAGATTGTTCGTACGATTCGACTGTGGTGGTGGTCTATTTTTAATCTGTGTTCTCAGATGGGATCCCCCAGGGTCGGTGATTCCCCCTCAATTTGTCAAGGACGCAGGAATGCTCCAAGACCTCAACGCCCTGCTCCAGCAAAAACTGCCGAAAACCTCAAACCCAAACCTCCCCCCTGCCCAAAACACAAAAGCATGTAATGATAAAAGTCACGAATACTTTATCGTAACAATAAGAACAATGACAATTATTTTACAAGTACCACTAGTAGCGATGCTAGCAGAACAGGAGCAAACCTGATCAAGCCTAAACCCCTAAACCCTAAACCCTACACCCTAAACCCGAAACCCTAAACCCTAAACCGCCTAAACCCTAACGCACTTCTTGGGCCCCCTGGCCGGGGTGGTCGCCCACAAGCTGGAGCCTGGCCCTGATGGCTGGTTGGCGACCTCCTTTGTCCTTGAGGGCTTTGCTTAGGCCTTATGGTTCAGGGCTTCGGGTTTAGAAGACCCCTTTGTGAAGGAAGATTCCTTATGGAGCGTTTTGTAAGTTTCAGCAATTTTCAGGGGCTTAGGCCTACGCCGGTTGAGGGGGTTCAAGTAGTCCTATAGAGTGCAGGCAAAGTTGCATCAAGGAGCAATAGTCGTCAAAGACACAAAAGCTGCTTAGGACCACTACTAGTTGCTTAAGAACCCCAAACATTTACAATTTTCTTCCTTATTAAGGGTAATATAGGGATCATTATTCTTTTTATTCTTTTGGGGTTCTTAAGCAACAGTGGATTAGGGTCTCATATCTACATACAAGGCCATGGAGTGCGACTCAGCTTCTGGCACACCCCGTTGCCTTGTACATCTTCAACAACTTGCATAATCATGGGCTACAAGGTCAATGGCAGATGAATGCAGCACAGGTGTAATAACTCGGAGGCAGCTGTAACTTGGTACTCAACCCGATGCTGACCGTTGGGCAAACTCTGTCGTACATTTAGGAAGTGCTTTACATTCTTGGCTTGGCTGCACTTAGGAGGGTAGCTATAAAATAAATTTTAGCTGCCTGATTAAGAAACCCAATAAGCCCAAAAAGGGCTAAAGATCTAAAGATACAGTAAAGCACCACAAAGTTGGTGCCAGGAAGTCTATCCACATGCGGCCGAAGGAATTTGATGCACTGAGCCAAGCTGATCGAAAGGTGGACTTGCTCTACACGGGGCGAACGGGTCCTTTGGCCTGCATGGTAGGGTTTAGGGTTTAGGGTTTAGGGTTTAGGGTTTAGGGTTTCGGGTTTAGGGTTTAGGGTTTAGGGTTTAGGGTTTAGGGTTTAGGGTTTAGGGTTCAGGGTTTCGGGTTTAGGGTCAAGCTGCCAAGAGGCGTCTTTGTCCCATTGTGGGACCAGTGCCGCAGCGCAAATTTCATGGCCCGGTTCCAAGACTTCGAGTGCGTCTGCCTCGAACGACCCTGAAACCACTACTCTCATAGAAGACCAAATCGTAAACACCTTGGTAGCCCGGTAACCATATTAAAATGAGGGCACTTTTTTTGGGTTGGTTACTTGATAAGGGAACCCATAACCAAACAAAAGGGTAAAGGGTACCACTGGGCTACTGAGCAAATCATAGACAACGACATGATATACAGCCTGATGTAGCACTGACATAGCATGATATGACATAGCTTAATACCGGCATGGCATAGCATAGTACAGCATAGCACAGCATAACCTAACATGAAAAGCGAAAAACCACCATCACAACTTCACATCGCATGACACAACATAATACTATACCAGATCAACTGATATGATGTTTCAAACTCTCGCAGAACAAAACGAAGCATCACCTAACAGGACCTAACACAAGCATGAACACAAACAGCAACATAAACTATCCGCATGAACATAACAAACTTCTTAGATGAAGGAGGGTTTGTATTTGTTGAACTCCCAAAAGAACACCCAATATACACACTCACCAGTATTGAAAGGAACCTTATGTACACTCACCAGTAACAGTAGTATAAACCCTGCTTCATATAAAACTGGAGCTGAGTGATAGGAATATCCCGGCATGCTTAGGCCATAACCTCAACGAACCTGCATCCAAGGTCTTTGGTACACTTCGGTCGCAAAATTGAGGTTCTAGGGATTTCAGGAGTCGGGAGGCCTCCATGGCCGCAGGGACTTAGGGGCCGTTTAGATTCTTTTAGGGTTTAGTTTACCATCTCGGGTCTAGGAATCAAGTCCGCGCGGCCATCAGGAGCTACTTGTGAGAGGTACGGGGTTCTGCTCGACATAGTATGAGGCTGGACCGGAGAGTTTTTTTCCATGCCGGCAAGCAGAATTGGGCCGCAGGCTGACATTTCGGAAGTCTACTGTGTGGGGGATGTGGTTCTGGGCCTCCTGGTGACTACAGCAAAAAGCACTCCATGAACATGAGATGAAACCTAAACCCTGGAAAGCAAGCATAGGTTGCGTGGCCGGGGGTGGGTCTAGGGTTTAGGGTTAGGGCTTAGGGCTTAGGGCTTAGGGCTTAGGGCTTAGGGCTGAGGGCTTAGGGCTTAGGGCTTAGGACTCCGGGCTCAGGGTTTAGGGTTTAGGGTTTAGGGTTTAGGGTTTAGGGCGAGCGCACGGCCTGGCGCACCCCAACACACTCAACCCTACAGGTATTCTTGCTTGTGTTTACAGGGGATTTGGACCCTGATTCACTGATCCCTGTAGCCCTAGAGAAACTGTTGCTATCTTGCAGCAGGGTGACTGGTTGCACGATTTGCAGGAACCCTCCCCTGCCCAGAACCGTCTCCTGCTGCCCTAAACCCTAAACCCTAAACCCTAAACCCTAAACCCTAAACCCTAAACCCTAAACCCTAAACCCTAAACCCTAAACCCTAAACCCTAAACCCGCGCGCCTCTCCCAATCGGAACACTCATCTACAGCTGCCAGCGTCCAAGGCGTCGGCCAGGATTTCGCCCCAAGAGCTGATCGACCGTGGTCTTCTCCTTTTCTAGTATTTGCTTATGACCCCAAAAGAATTAAAAAAAAAAAAACAATCCCTATATTACCTTTAATAATAAGGAAGAATATATATATATGTATACATATACATATACATATACATATACATTTCTTTTGGGGGGGGGGTTCTTAAGCAACTAGTTTTCGTCTACCTATACTCCCCTGAGAAGCTTAGTAGCAAATCACATTCATAGTAGTCCCTGGGGTATTATATGTGGGCTTAGGGTTTAGGGTTTAGGGTTTAGGGTTTAGGGTTTAGGGTTTAGGGTTTAGGGTTTGGGGTATGAAAATGAAAAACCCTTAAGGGGGCCATAGTCTCCGGATGATTGGCTGACCATTGTGGGGATGGTTGGGTCGCCGCGCACGCGGTCTGCTGCCAGGAGGAGAAGTGCAAGGAGCCGGGCCTCCAGTCGACAGACATTCCTATCGATGGGGTTTAGGGTTTAGGGTTTAGGGTTTAGGGTGTAGGGTTTAGGGTTTAGGGTTTAGGGTTTAGTAATTTAGAAGCCACAAAGCAGGCCGTAAAGCACAAGCCTAGCCGTAAGAGTGCGAGAATGAGCAGGTTATTCAAGACTTTGAAGTTCAACGTGAGGCGGAGGTCCAGGGCTTAAGGTCCGGAAGCCTAGACTTAGGGTTTAGGGTTTAGGGTTTAGGGTTTAGGGTTTAGGGTTTAGGGTTTAGGGTTTAGGGTTTAGGGTTAGGCGAGAACTCCCGGCTAGGCATGGGCGCATAGCCGAGAGAATCCCACTGGTTGAGGGTTAAGGAAGGGGGTTGTCCTAGATTTTGGGGTCCCACTCATCGATTCCTTGCAGAATTCATTTCCTTCCATGCAAGGAGTCACTGGGTTAACTCCAGCAGCCAGAAAAGGGTACTGCTTTCGGTTTAGCTTGTTTCTATCATAAAGGGTCTGAACCCTACAATGTGGAGAGACACCTGCCTAAACCCTAAACAACCCTAAACCCTAAAGCCCTAAACCCCAAACCCTAAACCCTAAAACCCTAAACCCCAAACCCTAAACCCTAAAATCCTGAATCCTGAGCCCTAAAACCCTGATACATCGGAAGGATTGAAGGCAAGGGAAGCTTGTGTCGAGAGGCTATCGGCATCTTCGTCGTGGCAGCATCTGGGCCTGGCTACGACTGAGGGTCGAGGGCTTAGAGCTCAGAGGGTTTAGGGTTTAGGGTTTAGGGTTAGGGTTTAGGGCTGAGGGTTGGGTGGTTTTAGGGCGTAGGGTTTAGGCTTCTCGTGGGCTCTGGGAGCTCAGCATCTAAACAACCCCAGACCCCAGAGACCCTAAACCCTAAACCCGAAACCCGAAACCCTAAACCCTAACCTGAGACATTGAACCACCCTGCTGCGGCGCAAGATGGCAGTTAAGCCTGTATTGATTGGGATGTTCCCCCTTGTACCAACAGTCCTTAGTAGGGATTATAGTACCTCCTATTAGAATCCCTCTTAAGGACTGTTAGTATAAGGGGGAACATCCCAATGTATTGATATCAAATGCTTGTGTCCTGTTTTGCTCCGCAGTGCGCGCTCAAGAAGGGCCATGCTCCCGGACAGTTAACGCTACCTTGAGCGAAACCGCGGGAAGGACAAAATCCGAAACCCAAACCAGGTACTTGAACATGATTATGCGGGTGTAGACCCCCCCCCCCAGCCCAACAGTGTAAGGCCACAACGACGGCACATCGCAAGCATCACTGACACGATCCCCGGCCCCAAAGCGAAACACTTGCGTTGGACCGATGCGGGGGCGCCATGTCAAGAGACCGCGACGGACGTTGTTGCAACACGGACGAGCAAACAAACACATTCGACCCATGGAACCTGATCTAGGGCCCTCCTTCCTCCCGGCGTACGAACCACATAGCGTTGCCAGGCGTTGCCGCACTGTTTGGGACACAAGCGCACGCCGAAGCCCACCATGGCCCAGCCCAAGCCGAAGCTCTACCATTAAACCCGACATGTAGGCTTGACAAGAGGCGTGTTACCATCGTTCACACGGTTCATTCACTTCGATATGAAAACGAACATGCGCGAAACAAATACACAAGCCCACTGACTGTTTTGGAAGGAATGCAGAAAAGCACGAAAAGGTGCACAATGCACAGGGCTTTTCGTTTCTTCAGTGGGGCTTTGATCGGGGCCCCTTGTCTTGAGAGACTGAAACCAAACAGTATGCGCAAAGAACCCCTGCACCTCACAAGCAAAGGAATCCTAAACCCTGAACCCCAAACTAAACCCTACACCCTAAACCCTAAACCCATACACCTTGACGCCGGGGACCCTGGGAGGATCTAGAACTGCGGTTTAGGGTTCTTAGAGCTTCTAGGACTTAGGTGTGGATGTGCGGGCTCTAAACCCCAAACACTAAACCCCTAAACCCCCAAACCCTAAAGCTAAACCCTACAAAGCAATGACCTTCGGTGGGGTTACTTCGGTTTTTTACGGGGGATAGGGCACGTACAGATTTAGACAGATTTCCGGTTCAACCCCAGGGGTGGTCTTAAAGTGTACTTAGGGGGTGTCCAGGTGGACCCACTCAACAGCTTAGGGCTTGTAGGGTTTGCACCTCCAACCCTAAGACCTGTTCCCTAAACCCTAAACCCTAAACCCTAAACCCTAAACCCTAAACCCTAAACCCTAAACCCTAAACCCTAAACCCCCCAAGGCTAGACCCTAGTGTGGGAAAGTTGTGGCCCCCACCTTGCACGGATCCGCCGTCTGCTCCGGCCTCTTCCTTCCGCCAGCTCGTCGATCGCTTGGGCCAAGAAGCAGCAGAACGGCTAAACCGTAAACCCATTTAGGGCTCATGGGTTTAGGGGTTAAGGGCTTGTGGTCCAGAGCCTAAACCCCGTAACTTGCTACCAATGACAACAATAATAATAACACTCCTGACAATAAACAACATTTAGAAACATATATTGTTATTGTTAGTAGCTTTTTACTATTTATGAATACTATTACTATTATAACGCATCATTATGATCATGACTACGATGATTCTTAGTCTTGTGCTGATATCATTCCTGTGATTGGTATGATGACTACTGTCATTTTCCCCAAATTCTAAACACTAAAGCCTAAACCCCAAACCCTAAACCCTAAACCCTTGCCCCTGGAGGCTCAACTCGCCCTCCTCCGGTGGCACCTGCTCAAAGGGACTCTTTTGGTCGTTGCACCTCTGCACAGCTGACGAACCTGGGAGAAGTGGAGTCGGTGTTTGTGGGGTTTAGGGTTGAGGGTTTAGGCTTCAGGGTTTCGGGTTTAGGGAGGCTCCTTGGAGATGTCCAGCCTTTGGCAGGACCAAGATGCCTGCCTGCCTCGCCCAAAAAATTACGTCTCCTAGGACGCTTCAGAATTAGCAGGCAGGGATAGTCTTGGCTGCACTCAGGAGGGTAGCTATAAATTAAACTTTTAGCTGCCTTAATAAGAAACCCAATAAGCCCAAAAAAGGTAAGGATCTAAAGTTACAGTAAAGTACCACAAAGTAGTTAGGGGTCCTGGTAGGGCCTATGAGGCTTGAGGGGTTTCAGGGTTGGGGTGCGTTAGGTCGGTTGGAATACTAGTGAACCTCCAGTCCTGCACCATGGAACTCAAGTGCCCTGACGTCTGAGTCCCGAGCTACATTTGCAATCATTTCATTGTGTTGCCTGCCAGAACATCCGACGATGCTGCGTGCGGCAGGAACACAGTACGTGACCTAAGAAACGTGCATGAAGATGCGGGATAACGCGGCAAGAATGAGACTTCTCGAAAGGGCCTCAAAGCCATAATATGCTCGCCCCGTCGAAGGCGACGGTAGCGCTTCACACGAACCTGCGCGGGAGGATGAGGAGGAGGAGTCTTTTCTCAAGCGACATGAACGCGTGACACGTGACATATGGAGAGTTTATAGGGCCTTGGGGACCACAGCGACGCAGGAGTCGACCATTTTGCAGTTGGCTGGCGAAAAGCCGGCAGAATCAAATCAACTGTGGCCACTTGTCCTCGCGCGCCTTCACGGCGCGGGTTGGCACCGCGATTCTTTGCGCGGAACACTTGGAGGTTCATCGTACTTCTAGCCCCAAGTAGAACTGTACTCATAAGCCCCCTAAGTCCCGTAAGTAGGTTCTGAGCAGACTCATCATTGAGGTTACATGTACCCATGCCCCTCCAAGCACTGTTGTGCCATGCACAGCAGCACCTCAAACCTTGGGGGCACGCCTTTGGCCCCCGTAGAGGCGTGGGTCCTTGCCGCTGTGCTCCCCATCGCGTCGGCCGAAACTTCGCCCTGCAAGGCCAGGACATCTCCTGCACGTGGGCGCGTAGGGATCAGCCTTGCCTTCTAACGGCAACTCCGACCACCGAGATGAAGGCATTCCAGGGGCTGCTGAGCAAGGAAGCAGCAACATCTCTCTGAACACGCTGTGGCACAGCCACCCTGCAAGAAGCGCCGGCGCCGGGGGGCAAACCCGACTCCCCAAAGAAAACACAGGCAAAACATGAACGAATGCTGGCTCACGGAGGCTCGAACCACCAGGTGGCGTCCTTGGCAACGCTCCAGGCATAGGGCTTATTGTTTTATATACGGGGCTTCTGTAGGCTTTACGGGTGTTATAGGGCTCGTAAGATTTGTCAACTTTGTTGAGGTTCCGGGGGGCGGGCATAGCATTTCGGATTTCAGGTTTTGGTGTCTGGGATTAGATGGTCTGTGGTTCACGGGTGCTCCTGCTGCTAGGAGCCCAGGGTCGGTGCGCAATGCGCAGTAGCTTGTCCCTGACGGCAAGCTCTCGATGTTTGCCAGCAAGCCGAATACAGGGGTCGGAACAATTACTCATGGTATTCCCTTATGGTCCCTTTTGTAATTATACGATACTAGCCCCCAGAACCCTGTTCCAATTGTTAAGGCCGCCATATTCCCCCAAAAAACAGAGCAGCGCAGTGCCAAGACCCTGACCGCCCCAAGGTGCAGTGTGGCACCCACCTGGCACAACTGACAGAGTTATCGTTGAAGGTTCTTGGTTGGGATGCTGCCCCTTATACTAGTAACAGTTCTTAGTAGGGATTATAGTTCCCTTTTAAGCACTCTTAGCATAAGCCCCTTATACTAACTTATACTAACAGTCCCGACTATTGACTATCGTACCCCCTAGCCGCGCAAACAGCTCCAAACCACCAGCTGTCACACATGCATGGCAACATCAATAGCGAGTGCCACACAGCAACCCTTAGCCTGAACTGAAGGTACCCAAAGTGAACCCTAAACCCTAAACCCTAAACCCTAAACCCTAAACCCTAAACCCTAAACCCTAAACCCTAAACCCTAAACCCTAAACCCTAAACCCTAAACCCT